GCAATGGCAAAATAAAAATGTTGAGGCGAAACTAAAGGAATAATTATGGTCCATAAAAAACCAGCACTGCCAAGTGAGTAACACTTAGTGATAACTACTTGCATGTACTCTGCATGGCTCACCTGCAGCAATGGATATACAAAGGCTTAACTTGTGCACTTTAAAACATGCAGTGCAAGCAAGGGAGCAGACCAGCCTATTCTACTTACTAAAAATTTGGGGGGGAGAAAGAGGTTTTTCTTCAAATTATACAGTTGTGCAGTGCTGAGTTAGCTATGTTTAGCTATGGATTAATAGAAGGATGTTCAACACTTAAGATAACATCCAGAAAAAGATGAAATTCAGTATTTATTTTACCTGAGAACTGAGGCAATGAACTTAGGATAAGCAGCTGAATGCAAGGAAAACCTGTTCTAGTCACTTCTGTAAGAACTAGAGACATTAAAAAACTGATTTTTGAGAAATCTGTAATAATTCTCTTTGCAACTCACAGACAATTTCATTGGAACTTTTTCAATATTATTTAATGAAACCAAGACTCTTAAACATAGGCAGAAAAACAAATATGAACTGACCAAGAAGAAAGTTAAACCAGCACGGTCTCAGCTCCTCTTATTAACTCTATCACCAAAAGACATGGCTAGGCCTGTGCTGACTCAGAAAATGTATGAAAAGAGGTCCCTCAGTTGAACATGTCCACAGAACTTCATTAACTCTCCTTCTGATCCCAGAACAGTAGGATCTAAGCCAATAAATTCTGCAACAATTTCCTTCCCAGCTAGTGCAGGCAGAGGTATTGAGTCTGCCATGTGCACTCCAGGATGCTGGTGATTGTGAGTCTGGTGAAAAATTTCTACATAACAGAAAAATAATGGTAACACCAGGCTACTTTTCTTATTTTTCCTTTAATACCTGCATTTTATGTGACTACAGAGTTTTCAAACAGCTATATCATAACAGTCTGTCGCAAGCGTATTGGGTGTTTCAGTTTGCCAGACCTGTCATAATAAATTAATTACAGGATGTTGCAGAAGTGGCTGAGTTCCAGCAGCATCTTGCACAGTTTAATATAGACCTATTTCCCCATTTCGATGTATTTGTGGTTAGATAAATCCTCAGAAAATTTACAGCTGCTACAGACTAGTTTATTATATTCCCTGTCTTTGCAGGCGATATAAATGCAACAAAAATTTGAAGTCTGCTCAGAGCATAGATTTTACTGATATTGCTTTACCGGTGTGGAAACATTTTTTCCGCTAAAAGCGGCATCTGCAGTTTCTACTGATTGTTTGCATTTGAGCATTACACAGGACTTGTAAACTTGCTTGTCACAGCCAAACACTGTGAAAATTCATTTGGCTTGACAAAAGTCCTCACAAGCAACCAGGTGGATGAAGTTTGGTATGAAATGCAGAGTTGAAATTTTCATCTATGACTGAAAGAGAGAAAATGTTTTCCCAGCCTTTAAAGTTAGTATACACTAATTGCAGCCATGGTGTTGTGGCTCAAAGCCTTGCTGATTTTGCTGGAACTTTGAGTATAGGGGTCCATCTACTCCAAACAGCTTGCAGGACTGGGACTCTACATAAACATCCCAGTGCTGGTAAACAAACCCTTCTGAATGGGAGGGCAGCAAGCAACCTGCACACAACAGATGAACAAAAGACAAAACTCTTGTCAAAACCACTGTGAGCAGAACACATCTACACATGAGAAAGGGATCCTATGACATTAAATGTTTGAAAGAGCAGCTTGATTCCTGAAGTTCCAATCTCTGCTGCAGCTGTTTTGCACCAGATGAAGAGGCTGGAGAGGACCGAATCAAGGCAGAGGTGCCTGTTGCAACAGACAACTATTAAGGTGCCTCCTGAAAACCTGTACCAGAAGTCAGGGAATGAAAGCTTTATCTCTCCTAGCAGCTCTGCAAGTCATAGACAACATGGAACTCCAAAGGCTGTAGCTCCGAGTTACTGGAGAGACACAGAATGTTGTTCATGGGTCCTGAGAGTTCATCAGAAAGTTTCTGTAAATGGCCCAAAACAAATGTTTTAAAAAGTGAAGTGGTTAAATATCTGAATTTCTAAAGTCTAAAAAACATGAGTGAAGCAACCAAAGCTCTGCTATAACACACCTACATGCTATCTTCTGTTCCTTCTTCTTAAGTTCCAATTTCTAATTGCCACATTTTTGCAAGTCTCCCCCAAGCAGCAGCTTTCTTCTCAAGTTGCTTATTTCCCTCTCTCAGACCTCCTCTTGTTTCTATTCCCTACATGCAGCAGTTTTGTTCCTAAAGCATGTATGCTAAACTCCAAGCAATAAACCCCCTTGCCTGAACTGACACAGTATATTTTTTTAAGTGCAGGTGTACTTAAAGTAACTTGTTTGCAATATTCAATATGGACACTGGACAGAATGCTAAGGGGAAAAAACCCTGGAGTACCAATCTTTATATGACTCTTCCTGGCCTCCCTCCACTAATCAGAAAATATTTCTATCCCCTCCCAATTTCCACATCCATAAAATAGGTTGCACCGCATACATACTAATTTCATACGTGCTGGAAAATGATCATTAAAAATCCCCATCACTCTTTGTGTTTACCAAACAAGTGTTTTTGCTCTAGTCTGTTCCCGCCTTAAACAAAGTATTTCCTATTCACCTGAGTAATTAGAGCAGAAGGATGTAGTGAATGAAGTGCCTCATTATCAAGTTTGCATCCATGGTCCCTGCAGAATGACTACCATGCCAGCTATTTTTCATAGCTGTCTGCTTTTGCTTGTAATGGGCCATTGTTAACCCTAAATGATCCTGACATTCAATTCTCCGTCAGACAATTGCATCCAGCCGGCAGATTTAGTTCACTAGTCAACAGAGACTTTCGGTTGTCATGTTCCTCTGTGTTCTCATTAGCCCTTGTTTGACTGTGATCCATCCCCTACTGCCTTCTGAATTAAGTGATGCTACACGTACACTTATTATGTTTCATGATGTCTGTTCCTCAAATTATTTTAAGGAAAAAAGTAAATGCAATTTGATGGTTATTGGGAAACACAGGAAAAACACAGCCACACATTTTCTTCTGTGTTGCTCATTTACACACAGTTCTTGATATCTCTGCCCTATCATAAAAACATAATAGCAACTCTATGGTGCAACCACATACACAAAACCTACAAACACCACAACAATGAAAGATCCATGATGCTGCTATTTCCAGGCAGCTATAAATATCTAATATTCACACTTTTTAAAGCAACATTTTATCTGGTTTGTTCCAGCAATGAATTCGTGTCACCCTCTAAGGAAGTTTCACAGAGACTTTTATAACTCTTGCATATTAATTCACACATCGTGGCTCAGGGACCAATTTTGCAGGACACCGTAATGCTTCACCTAATAAAAAAGGAAATTTTTCAGTAGACAATCTGAGTCCTGGAATTCTTTTCTTCCACTGAAATTTAAGTCCTCTAAGTACTTATGCAATATTCTGCAAACATACATGATATTCACTGCAAAGTGATTTTAGAAAATATGTAGATTGCATTAACACAGAAACAAGAGGAATAACATAAAGTTTTTAAATTAAAAACTTCCTTTTAAACCATTAAAGCACTTAAAAGTTTTATCCTTTCTTTGTAAATGTAAAATACCAACAGCAATGTCTGAAGAATAAAAACTCTACTAATACCAAAAAGCAGCTCTTCTAAAAATAAATGTATCAACCGTATTTTTGAACAAAAGGTAAAAACTGTCTTTGCCATTGTGCCACACTCATAATTTGCTGAAGAGATTTTAGGGTGAAGGTTCTAATTTTAATACTGAAGGATCATAAACCTTTCTAAATTTCAGATATTTTTGTTCCTTTTCTATGAAATGAATGCAGAAAACTAGCACCACAGTGACACTGTGTATAAAGAGAAGTCTCCAACCATGTGGTAGGGAAGAAAAAAAAATTATAGAAGTAAAACAAAAGCTATTGCAATTACAATAAAACATTATGAAAAGTTTATTTTCAACTCCTGCGTTTTCATGTTTGGCTCTTATCTGATTCCTTCTGTTTAATTGTTATTTGGAACTGTGCCTTGGAAGACACTACTGCTGCCTCTCCTCTCAATTTAGAAAGTGTGGCAAAGCAGCTCTATTCAGCTTCAGAGCAGTGAACATAATTGGAGCCCTAGTTCGCAAGCATGAAAGGAGGTGCTGTGCCTTTGATTAGAACTACCATCTCTCTGTGGTGTTTATCTGAAGTGTTATTTCTGTCTTCTGTGTCGACAATGGCAAATTAACATTTTACAATGCTTTCCAATGAGCTTCCAGATCTTGGCTACTGCTCAGCTCTCCCTGATGTGGAGCCTGATGTCACACTCTGCCCTTGTTTTAAACGTGACCCAGGACATTTTAAGAAATGTAAGATGTCGAAATTTTTCCCCATTATAAAATCTCTAAATGCCACAAGTCACACAGGATGATGAGCTGGAACACACTGCAGGGACATAAGAGGTGGGGAGCCTGGACAGAATCAGGCAGCCCCAGGACTGAGGTAATTTTACACCACCTCTGACTGGGGAGAGACATTACTAAGTTTCCAGCACACACATGCAAGCCCCATTTAGGGCAAGGCTCCACGCACACACTCTAGGCAGAGCAAAGTTAGGACTGCTGGCAAATAACAACTCCCAGTGGGGCAAAAAGAGAGGATTTGCTGCTGTGCTTTACTTGAAAGAAAAAAAGTTTACAGATTTTTCTGGCTTCAAAACATGTGCAAGGAAGATATTACAATATACAGCAACCAGTCCTCTGCATCTGGGTGCATTTCACACATCAGTGCCCAGCATTGTTATTTTCACTTCTTTTTTTAATGGAATCAAGTGCCCTGTCTACTAAATAAGGGCTTTCTAATTTTATGTTATTTATTGCTTCAGAGGGGGAGGAGAAAGAATTTCCTAGCAGAGTAAAAATAAACTGGACATTATCAGCCAGAAAAAAATACCAACACTAACTGATAGAAAGTGTTTTGTTTAATATAAAACATAAATTATTTAACACCATAGATAATTAGTGAAGTCATTAGTAAAAGTTCACAAAATAATACTCAAGTAGAAAAATAGAGTAATGATGCTTACAAGTGAATAAGGAGTGCAAGTAAAACAAACAGCAGAGTTGGATATGAAGTATTTTGTTCAGACAAATGAAAGTATATTTGGCAAGACTGCTGCCAAAACAGCCAGGAACTATGACAAAACTCCAATGAATCTTTACTATGTGCAGCACACCTCAGTTGAAAAACACAACTGTCTGGAATTTGAAACACTAATTTATTTTGATAAGAACAAGTAGTCCTACTGAACACAGTGTAGTTGCATAGGTAGTTACTCCACAACTCCCTTCAGAGCTGCAAAATGCAGTCCAAACACATATTTGATGTCAGGAAAATATTTTTGAAAGCTTATGTTTTCAGGTACACCTTGATGTCAGCACTCCTTTGGTATTTTAACATTCTGAACACTCTTCTATTTAACTTACAGCACACTTTAAAATGCTACTTTAACTTATGTAATGGTTGGGCATGTTTTGCTCTAGATCACACTTTTTCATTTGATTCTTTGCTTGCAATGGATTGATCTACAGTCTACACAAATGCCTAAGTGATAGTTTAATCAGATATCAAATTAGGAAACACTGTATTTGACAATTTCAGTTCTTTTCCAGTCCAGTGAGGAGCTGAACCTTCAGGTTCTGTTGATTTCAAGGAAGCCAGGGCAAAAGTCATCCAAAACAGGTTTGCACTATTGGTAAGTCACAACTGGTACCATTTTGCATATTTAGATATTTTAATCTATTTGCTTATTGTTAATCCTAGAAGAGAGATCATAATTGCAGCCTTCAATGCGTGTAATGAACATCCCCCAGTATTCAGAAATAAATTATGCCTCTGCGTCATGGCGTTCGAGCTCAAAGGCAATATTTGTCCTTCCATCGGTGCTTAAGTTTGAGCCTCTCACTGCCTTTTTCTTCTTCTTCAATTCCACCCCACGGGATGTAGGTTCGTTTTCAACACCATTAGTTGCAACTGATGACAGAGGAGTATCGATGCTCATTAAGTTGTGCTGATTTTCTCTCTCATTCCTTTGTATCCTTTTCTTCTTTTTCTTTGTACCTCTAGAGGAAGGTGGATATAAAAAGAGTAAAAGAAACACAAAGTTAGCCCAAATTTAGAGCTTTTTTCACCTACAGCTGATGTGTTAGAGCAATTGTCTGCCTGTCCTCTTGAGCACAATACTGAAACAACTACAAAAACTACTGTTCCACAGCAGAACAAAGACAGAAAAACCATGAAGACAAAATATGAGACCACTCCACTATTCTACTTTTTATCATAGCATTGCTTTGAAAAGAACTGCTCATAATCTTAAAAATCAGCTTGTCTTGATCAACACACAACAGATGTAATTAAAAAATACAAATTACTAGTCTCCTCCTCTCATAAAAGCAATTGCACTTGTCTTTTTTCACTTTCCTAAGCTCAGACACCAAAATACTTACAATTAAGGAGAGATTCCTGGTTTATTTATGCAACAAGAGTAAGACATGCAGTCAAAGTGCCTAAGATAAATTTTTCTATTTCAATATACCTGAACAAAGACAGAGTCAGAAATCACTTTAATGTCTATTTATGCTTATCAGCCTTCATGCAGTTCCAAAAGGATCAGTCAAGCTCCTGTGTTATAGTTGATGCCTCTAACTGGTCTTGCACATGATGGCAGGGATTATACAGATGTTACACCACTTCTACCATTAATTCCCACTCTTGGCAGAAGTTGTAACTTTATTTAACTATAAATACGTAACAATACTTCGACTCTAACCTTTCAAAGGAAGGCACTGTGTTTGCTCAAAATTTGTATTGCGCCAACACAAAAGGGTCCTGGTTTATGACCCAAACTGTTTAATGCTGCTGAAACACATAAACAAATGGATGAACCAAGACTGAAGAATGTGATGTGTGTCTTTTCCACAAAAATGGTGCTACAAATGCTGCACTGTCCTAATGTAGATTTTATAGATGAAAATATTTACACATCAGCCTTGCTAATGGACTGATGAATATCTGACTGTAGTTGGAACTTATTTTAGAGCTAGACTGTATACTTATGAATATGTGGATTGCTGCAGCTCTAGTACTGGAACATCCTAAGGAAAAGGTTTGGGAGTCCAAGAACCTCTGTGTTAGGATTCCTACAACAATTTGAGGAGTACTGCTGCATGAGGAAATGAGGGTCCAGAGTCATAATTAGTGTTGTAAGTACCAAAGTACCAAACCCAGGGTTCAGCTGGGTCTCATGTAAACCTATGCAGAGCACTACCTAGTGCGGCTCAAGAAAACCATACAATGGGAACACACCTAAGGACATACTGGCTGTGCTGACAAGTAGCACCAACCATTACTATTCAAAGGGTAAGGTTACTATGCTACTTCCAATATAAAACTACTCTCATTCTGAGAAGCAGTTTTCATCTTTTTATTATTTGAACATCAGATGTGGTGATGTATCAAAACTTAGATTAAAATCACTTAGCATAATTTCTCTATTTTTTTCTAGTCTGCAGAAGACACGTCAACTGCTTGGCCAAGATAAAAGTCCACTGGTATTTTGTATAGAACTTCTTTTCTCCTATTGCAAAAGCATATTTTTCACCCAGAAATTCTAAAAAAATAGACATTTCATAAGGACTTGTCATTCACGTTCTTTCACAGCAGGTATTGTGGCTGTAGTGAACAATACTGTTCCAATAAGCAAACCAGTAATCATTCATTTGGCTTAGCAAGTTGTGCAGGTATTAAAGTTTCACTTCTCCATACTGAAAGTTTGTACTTGGCAACCACTTGATTCTTAGGAGTTATGCAGTAAATAAATTTCGTATAATATACGTCAGTGTGACATGACTAAGTGTATTTTCACAGAAAACAGGAAAATAACAGCATGTTTTAGGTGGAACAACTATTTAAGTACAGATTGGACTGGCTCTCAAGTCATGTTGATATTGCTGTTAGATGCTGAAATAAAAACCTCTTCCAGTTAAGATGGCAACACTTGCATGTATGTAAAATTTAAGGATATTTCAAGACACATTGACTGCAGTGAGCAAGAAAACTAGAGTCCTGGTAGGTCATGGTTTTGGTAACAGTAAAGTGAGAGTTTTCATGAAAAATAGGCAGCCCTGTTTCTGAGGTGTTTTATTATCTGATGTGTGCTGTATAAATACCTATAAACAAAAATATTGATAGTTCTTCACACTAGTAGCATCAGCAGTGTCAGAGGATTTTTTTCCTAGCTCTCAAAATAAGGCAACAGCTTGGGGTCTTTTCTGGAAAAAAACTGGTTCATGTGGTCACTGCTGTGAAGTGCTATGACATGGAGCATGCATGACTTCAGACTGGAATCTCCATGATGCTCCTGCTCCCTACAGTTTAGGATGAGGGAGCACATTCCAGTGATTTGAGCACATAGGTGCCTTCTCTCACCTTTTTGAAATGTAACTGAAGTGATTATTGGGCTCTACTCCTTAAGTGTGAGATCTTCTCAGGATAGCTCTAGTTTCAATTAAAATGAAAATTTGTATTTGCAATGACTCAAAATTCTTGAATTTTCTTAAATCATTTGTGATTCCACATTTTAAATCTGTGGTTCCACATTTTTCAGTGGATGCCCTAGAACTCAAAGTAATTGTTTCCTGAAGTCCTACCAATGGAGTTGAGTTATCCCAAATTTTTTATACTGACTTCTAACAGACTGTGTCAACCATCACAGTAACTGTGCTTTTAAGGCATTTCCTTCCTTAATGTATATACTACTAGAATAGTTGTGTCCAAAATTCAACACTGAATTCTGTCAATGTGTAGTTGCACAGCCCATTCCTCATCGTGCTTGAGGGTTAAACTTTCCACTCACAGTTTATTTTCAATTCTAAATACAGCTGGAGATACAAAATTCAGATTTAAAGACAGGTTCAAATGAGGTATGTATCTGCATCTACAGCATAATGTACATTATTTATATGAGGAGGAAACCAGTCTGGCAAATGATCAGTGAAATAACTTTGCTTAGGTGACAGATACAATGGCAAATGTGGGAAGTATTTTCAGATATCAATTTTTGAAGCAAAAATGGTTGAAAAAGCTAAAGATATTGTGGAAGCTCTTATTCAAAATGCTGAGATCTTATCTGCTTACAGCTTTCACGCAACAGAGAGCTAAGATTTTTAAGAAATGCAAGTGTCATTATCAAAGGTGCTGCTGGAATCTTTTTAGAATGTGACATCTTTTGGAATTTATATAAATTAACTTTTAGAAGGTGCAAAAAATAGCTTTTAGTCTGCAACAATAAATCTTAATACATAGCTAAGGGATGCCAGTGAGCAACCACATATCCCTGAATTTAGATTGCCATGTACATTATAGTCCTTGCTCTTCTGGGGATGTGCATATGGATTTGAACTGTTATTTCCTTCACATTTTGGGTGTGAAACACCCTCCCACTGATCACCCTAAAGGTAATTTCTTGTTTTGCTTGAAAAAACAAATCAACCCTTCCAACATTTCTCACAGTTTTGAAACAACAGTTGTAGGTATAACACCGAAAATTGTTTTAAGCATCTCTTGCTTACTGTGCTGCAGGTGAGTCTCTATCTGTGTCATGTCTGGAGATAAATTTCAGGTCCCCTGACTTACTGGTGACTGCTGACATCTGTAAAAGAGACAATAAAAGCAGGAAGGTAAAAAGACAACAGACAACGGAGCCAACACATGTGCATAGAAAACCCACCAGCTTCCTGAATAAGGAGAGAATATACCTCGTTTGAAAAAGAATGTCTATCAGCCATAAAATGTTAACTCCTATGTGGTTACAAACAAGGAAACAGCGCCCTGCTAAAAAAAAAAAAAAAAAAAAAAAAAAGGCTACTTGCAAATAAAAGACAGTTTTCAGGTAAGCGTAGAAACAAGAGGTTGTGAATCTGCTTGAAGACAGCTTAAAACACACATTGTTTTAGAATAATTATTATTTGTGCTTCTAGAAGTACAAAAGCAGTATGCTATAAAGCTTTCTTATTGCACAGTTTTCCCAAGAAAAATCTGGTTTTTTTAAGTCTGCACATTTCATTCAAAAGCAGTTCAAATCACTCCAGGTTACTTTGTAGTTCAGGGTTAAAAAGATTAAAAAGATTTCCCAAATCTGGAAAGGTAGATTCTCTCACTTCCAAAGTAATTAGAGGGTCTCTATAGCACTTGCTCCCTCTACAAACAAACCTAATTCTAAAAGGTCTCAAACTTAATGAAAGAATTCCCATAAGGAAATGTGAATGCCCTTCCTGAGTCTTCAGGGACAGGTTATTTTATCAGTTTAATATTATTTTTCTGCTGACTTAGAATAAACAGGATCAAGCTCCCAATGACTTACTGAATTCACACGTTTACACTGTGCACAAAAACCATGTTCAAACATTAGTCATTAGAATTAGTCTGCTGTAAAAACACAGATTGCTGGATTAGTTTAGACAAAAGTCAGCCTATTAGAATACAATAATGTAGCATTGGCAGGGCTGGGAAGAAAAATCATCTACTTCACACACAAAATCCTTGTTAATACAGTAATAAACTTGAGACTAAGTCAATGGTAAAAGTAAACACAAAAGAAGGAAGTATAATGCCACTGATATGAAAAATACAAGGGAGTGTTGTAAAGGGAATGACTCCAAGTAATTAATACTTCCTTCAGCATTTATAACCTTGTGGTTCCTTGCTATATACAATCATGAATTCATTCTGCTTACAGTCAAAACAAAATATTTTTTCAGAAAATCCTGTGTGAATGGTGTTGAACCATTTTTACCCACATTTTTGAGTATATATTACAGAATCTTCTCACAATACTAATACTATAATCAAATATGAACCATTCCAAAGAACGGTAGAGTAGAATCCCCTAATGTGCTGCTACAGAAGACCGACCTCTTACAAAAAACAGACTAAGATTTTTAATATTTTCAGACACCTAAACACAGAAAATTATCCTCGTTTTAAAGTTAGAAGCTTAAAGTATCTACTAAATTAGGCTACGTAATTGAAAATTCCTATGATCTGTTTTAAAAAGAACTCATCACATAGTGTTTCATATATTAAAACACAGGTTTTTAGTATGAGTACCCAGGAAAGAGCAGCATACAATTGGAGACATTTGAATAGCTGTTCATCTCACATAGCAATTCATAAGAATTCTTAGGTCTGGAAACAGACTCTCAACACTACACAGTACTGTTTCTGACAACTTTCTTATTTCATTCCTACGAACTTTCAAGCATGTAACAAAGAAGGAACTAGATACTAGATCTTTATGAATCAGATCTCGCTGCCACTATCTCCTTTTGTCTGTCCCACACACCTTTGTGTCCCTTTCAGCCTACTCCTTGACCTTCTTTTCGCATCCTAGTGATGTAAAAAAAAGCAGTACTGAAGAAATGAGGGGATCAGTGGCAGATGCAAGGAGACAGTGCAGGAGCTGGTGAAACAAGGGGATGAAGCATCTGGAGGAAGAAGTGGAGCCTGGGAAAACATGCAGGAGATCTTTGGCAAAGGAGGTGTGGTAACACACACTGGGGACTCACTAAGGACATGTCAATGTAAGGAGCAAGCCAGGGAAGGCTGGAATATGGAGGAGTTGAGGAGGCTGTTGATCTCATCTTTGTCCATTTCTAAACCTCTCAACCACCTGTTATCATGGGCAGATCTCCCAGGAAGGTCCAAACAGCTCTGCACTATCCTCACTGCCTCTGTACTAAGATGCAGTAAAGCTGGTGCAGGAACAGACATGGTGTGAGCCATGACACTCTCCAGATCACATTGTTAATATCGCATTATTAGGGCAGTGTTTGTTTTAGAGAAAAACATCCCAAGGTTTCAGACACTTCTGAATATTTTTCTATTCACAAGAAAAAATACTGAACACAGTACAAAAATAAGCTCATTTGTACAGTGCCACCAATGGTGTTCGATTTTGTTGCCATCTTCTAATTCTCCCGTTTGAGAGATATAGCCCACCAGAAGAAGAGAACATTAGTTCATGTCAACTGTAGAAGCTTGGATTTTCTAAAGGTCTTTTTTGCCTTACAATCATAGAAATGAAAATTGTAATAAAGTATATATTTTCCTTCTCTAAAGGGCTTGCTTGCTTTACAGCTCTTTCATTTCATACTTAACATTCTCTCTTGCTACCACATAAGGAGCAACCAAAGCAATATAAATAAAGGCAAAATACACAAAAGCATATCAAGTTTGTGATCCCTGCTATAGAATCCACAGCAGTAAATCAAGCACTAAACCTGTGCACTAAACCTCTGCAACTTGTGGGAGCAATCAGGTATTTCAGAACACACTTCCTAAAAGAACCTGAAGCAGAGGGCATCTAAAGGAAATACTAAGGACATAGTACCATCCTAAATCAACGTTTTTGGTGGTGCTTTCCTCTAGGTTGTGCAGAGTTGTTCCTAAAACTGGTCTGCAGAGATTCTCTGGCAGATTAGGAGGTGGATGAACAGAATAGAGTGGTGCAGGAAATCTATTCAGATGATGCAAGCTATGACAGTAAATGAGTTTGCTCTATAGCCTACAGAGGAACTCTCCTATAAAAGCTGTTTCTACAGAACTTCATCTAATTAAAAACTCATTGGATCACAGATAGCAAGAATGAACATGTCTCTGTGCCTTTTCGTGCTCATCTTTAGGACACTACACTCAGTACTAAGCCTGTATCTTGTTTTCTATTATGCAGTCCATGGATAAAAGATTCACAGCCACATATTTAACTACCCAGAACTATGCCAATGCCTGCTGTCAAAACTGTTCTAACAAGTCAAGTTCAGGAAAAATGTGACACCACACCTCACTCATCATTTTCTTCCCTGCTATTCTGCACCCGTCCACACATTTCCCCATTAAATCAACAACTGGCAGAATCTGCTAGCAGAATTACATGTATTTATTTTACCATGACCTTCCTATTTAAAATGCAATTAACTTACAATTGCTTTTCCCCCTCTTCAGTGTTTTTAAAGAACAAGCCTATGTAAATCAGACCGACCATATTCTGGCCCTTATATCTAAAGGTATTAGCTTAGATGCGAGAATCTAGAAGAACCATAACTTTGTATACAAGACAGACATTGGATGAATTTCTCTTTTGCATAAAAAGGAAAATTCTGTTGGGTGAAAACTGTAGTAATGGCTTAACACCAGCAAATACTGCATCTCAGAAATCAAATCCACTATGTGAGTTTCTGAGGGATAACAAAAGGAGGAGGAGGAAGAGTGGAGACAAGATACTCCATTGAAGCAGTATGGTTTAGAACACCTGTTTTCAGTCTTAACAATTTGGCCTCTGGGAATTTATACAGGATCACAGCTTTGCATTAACATTTGCATAAAAAAGTTCAATTCTATTCAGAAAGAGGCCATGGGGACCCAAGGAGAAAAATGGGGAAGGGAGAGGTTAGCTTGCTCCTGAGATAATATGTGTCACATAACAAACTTTTTGGTTCCGCTTGACCAACTCAGTGGCTCAGCCTGATTCTTCCTATCTTTAAACAGACAGGTCACCTACAGTAAACACCTATGCAGGAAATTTCACCTTTTCTTTTTTCCTCCAACAGGTATTAATTTGCTTATAAACCAGATACCTTCTCTTTCAATGACTCAAGTAATACTATAGACACAGGCGTAAATATTTCTAGAGACAGAACATGTAGCTACCAGCTTACAAATAAAGTAGCACCACACATGCTTAAGAAAGAGTAATTCAACTTGCACATGCAGCTGACACACTGGAGGGAAGGGATGCCATCCAGAGGCACTTTGAGAAGCTTGAGAGCTGGGTCTATGCAAATCTCATGAAGTTCAACAAATCCCTATAGCTGGGTTGTGGCAATCCCAGACACATCTACAGCTGGGCAGAGAAGTGACTGAGTGCAGCCTTGTGGAGAAGAATTTGGGGGTGATGGCTGACGACAAGCTCAACATGACCCATCCATGTGTGCTCACAGCCCAGAAGGCCAAACAAATCCTGGGCTGTATCCAAAGGAGTGTGGCCAGCAGGTCATAGGAGGTGATTCAGCCCCTCTACCCTGCTCTTGTGAGACCCCACCTGCAGTGCCGTGCCCAGTTCTGGACACGGAACTGCTGGAGCAAGTCCAGAGGAAGGTCACAAAGTTAATTAGAGGACTGGAGCACTATCCCTATGAAGGCAGGCTGAGAAAATTTGGGCTGTTCAACCTGGAGAAGAGCAGGTTGTGTGGAGATCTCACAACCTTTCAGTATCTGAAGGGAGCCTACAGAGAAGCTGAAGAGGGACTTCTTTTTCTGTGTCCTGACTTCAGCCAAGGCAGGGTTAAATTTTGTGCAATAGCTGGGAGGGGCAGAGCCAGGACCCAGATGTGATAGGACCTCACATCATTGCCAGGCTGGGGGAAAAAGGACTCTCTTGGAGAAGGATGTTCCTTCCAGTCCGAAACTTGGTGAGGAGAAGCCATCTGGCACTAATTTATTGTAGCAGGCTCCACAAAGAGCATCTTTGGATGTGAATCACTCTCTCTTTTGTACATTTTTGTTATTAACATTGCTGACATTACTGTTAATTTTCTTATCTCATTGCTGTTTACAGTAAATTTCTCTTATCACAACTCATGATCTTCACCTTTT